CAGCACACACATATAATATTATAATGTACGATGTGAAACCAATGAAATATTATCGCTGTAGTTTCTTATACGCGTACGGGGTAATAATTCGATTAAGTGCACTCGATATTTCGAAACGTATTGACATTTTTTTATATACTTTGCTAATTAAAAAAAACCAAGTAGTTCTTAAACGTTACTTCAACATTGTTTTTTGTTACCCTTGTTTGTTTGCCGGTGATGAAACGACGATATACATATCAACAAGTTCAACACCGGAACGTATAATTGTACTAATACTTAATCTGTGGAATTTTTAATGTGAAAGTTACCATTTAAAAATTAAAAAATAGATCATTGTTTGTTTAACCGTCAAAAATAACTGTGACATTAAATACAACGAAAGCGTAACATTTTTGACCTGCTTGTTTTTCTCAAACGATAAAACAGTTATAGAATATTTGAAAAATGTCGCCACTTGAGCGAATCGCCGTGTGTGTTATATATGTTAAGGCTCGGAAGTTATAGGAGCTCAAAAAGGCAAAATGTGTACAAAAACATTGTAAAATATGCATGGAAAAATTTTAAATAGGCAAAAAAAATTGAATTACTATGCAAAAAAAAAGATAAAGATTAAATCGCACCGTTGTTGTTTAAATTAATAATAGACCGACACAATAAGAAATAACAATACATAACTACGTTAAACAATATTGAGTTTTATATTCGACATTATTTAAAATGCATCGGTTAAAAAAGAAAAAAAAAATATTTTTTTTTTTTTTTTTTTTTAGCGAATATTGAATATGCACAATAATGCCTACAATTATACGAAAATCCATGAAATATTACGCACTTTTTCTCCAACGTTCACGAAATATGCAAAACATGCGTTGTATATATGTTCGATTTTTAATCCGTCCGCTGTATAGAAAAAATTGCCGGCCTGGTCCGCTCTAAATCCAGCGCGTACAGAAACACTGCTGTAAACTTCCACACCCCATACATAACCGTCGTATTTACGTTTTATATTCGCGACCGTATAACACGACGTACTCATATCGTTCCGAGAGGCGGTTCATACAATATTGCGCACGTAGCTAACAGCTATATTTTAATATTCGAACGAGCGTATAGGTATACAAATAATAATTGTTTGATATTGTACGTTGTGAAAAAAAAAAAAAATCCCGACCGTACGAACGACTTTTGACTCGCCTCGGTCGATGTATAGTTAAAATGTCTGCGTATATTTTCTCCGGAACAATTCATCGTACGACTTTTAATTCTATTGTATGCGTTTAAAAAAAAGACAAATACTGCAAATAATATAGAACAATATTCCGTGAGGAGTTTGTCGGACGGAGGAGGAGGAGGAGGGGGGGGGGAAAGTTCTCAGTAAACACACCACTCGGTTTTCAGTATTTCGCTCTTATTATACGTTTTTTTTTTTTTTTTTTTTATACTTTCAAACATTACCGACAAAACCCACCATGACCGCGTCACTCGCCCGACGTCGTAATAATTCGTATTCGTAGTTTATTGTAATAATATAATACGAGTAAGTTAATAAAAAGAACGACTGCTGCGCGCGATCGAACTTTCATTTTATTACTTTGGCCAAGTCGAATTACATTTTACGACACACTTAAATGCGAAACGGCGAGTAGGCCGGGAGGCGTGACTCTAAAATGCCAATACGCAAATTTGTATTTGTTTTTATATACATTTGTTACAGTTAAAACCCGAAGTCCGTCAAAACTAGTTTCGACTAGTGAAAACTAGAACGAACCAAGACCTTCACCGGTAAAACCAGATTCAACTTACATTTGTTTTTAGCCAGAACTAGTTCGGTCCGAAATATATTGGTGACAACTAGAATTATCTAGCGAAAATCCGTAATTTTTATTTTGACAGTTTAAACACGTTGCGTGAGACCTTTATACACACGCAGGCATAACAACTACAACGAATACAAACGAACACTGGCAATACTAAAAACGTGGATACAATAGCTACAGCGGCCGAATTATTATCGATTAGGTATAATCGGTCGAAGTTATCATATCTCCAAGCGATCCGATGGACGACCGGTTAACGTTATCTTGATTGGTTTGATAGCCGGCCAGACGAATATATGGAGCAATATTTGTAGACCGCGTGCAATTGCGTGCGTTTCAGGCAGTGCAGGTTGGAAAGCGTCCGTTTCAGTAAAAACTAGTTTTAACTGACTCATTTAAATCCGTAGTTTTAGTAAGTCTAGTTTTAAACAGTCGAAACTAGAGTTGAGTAAAATTTCGGGTTTTAAATGTGACATATACGTATATTTACGTTTCATAAAAAAAAAAAAAAAACGAGCGTTAGATTGAAACATCCATTTAGCGGTTCGGCTATATGGATGATAATATCGTAATTTACAAAACTACGTGACGTCGTAAATAAATTAATCGTAAATGCAATAGGATATTCTATTGAAAAAAAACAAAAACAAAAACGTAAATATTAAATGATCAGCACGCGTGCCTTTGGTTTTGTTTTCCGCTCAAAAATTATATTTTACAGCAAAGCGTATGCCTCGTCGAAGAGTGATCGATTTCGTTTATCTTTTTAGAGCCTATCGGTTTTACTGTATTGTTATGACGCGTACTTTTTTTTTATTTTCATTTTACTATCTGCAGCGGACAAATTTTCTGCCGAAAATCGTACTCCGATCAGCAATTACACGGGTGATTACTATAGCAAGCGTATTTTAACTGGAGCCGGGTGCGTTGACGAGGTCGTTTTCGATTTTCCTTGTGGTTTCCCTAATGATTCAGATAAATGACAAAACGAATGGTAAAATGTACAGAGAGACCTTTTACTGCAGTTGTTCCTAACGCAACATTAGGCACGGACCACTTCCCCCTCCACATATTACTTTAAAACGCATAATTTATACGCGCATAATAAAATCAGCAACACAGTAAACTAACCACTTGAAATGAGTTCAAGGACCACCGGTTGGGAACCACTGCATTACGGTTTTCAAAACCTCCTCCACCCGAATCTGTTTTGTAAATGGGAAATTCAACGTTAATCCGCGGTAAAATAATTCTTTGTGTTACAATCAAATCGGTATAATGTTAAATCGTTCAAAACTAAGTGAGTCTTTTTTTTTTTTTTTAGAATATTCCGTTTCGATTTAAAACCGCACAAAAGTCGAGTGTAGGTAGTACACCATACAGGCTCGCTAATAATTCGCAGTTCGTCAAAACCGCGAATTTCGGCCCCCAGAATTATTTAACCGTACACAGCCACGTAACCTAACGGTGCGGAACGAAGTGCATTATTTCGTTCGGAATGAAACTTGAAATTTGGCGAAAAATATTATTTATTATTATAACATATTACATGCATCTACCTCTTTGCCCGGCCAGCCGACCATATAACTACTGTTATGAATGTTAAATTATTCGAATAAATGTTTAGTTGGACATAATATATACAAACACCGATATTTACTACCGTTTTTCGCGGTGAATTCGTGGTTATATTAAAACATCGAATACACCTAGGTATAAAAAACAAAAAAAAAAAAAACAAAAAAACCAGCGTTGTTATTTCGGACATCATTAATCACGCGTACGATATCAGATAATGTTACATTTTAATTAACTGCGTAACCGCGCGTACGTTATTATAATATAGTCGCTGTTTGTTTTGTAATAAATATTTTTTTTGAAAATACCTACGTAATATTGTACGAGTTGTTTATTACTCATTTACATTGCACGTTTTGATAAAAATAATTGTACACTGCCGGAGTCTGTTAGGAAAACAAATTAAAATCGTTACTGTTATTATTATTATTACCTATTTAAATAAAATAATCGAAAAAGTATTTATTTTTTTTTTTTTTTTTTTATGCTATAATTAAATACGAACAAAAAATCTATGCCAGTAAACACTAGTCAACAGGCGCGTGTACAAGGGGGAGAGATTCAGGGGGGTCAAAACACCCTCCTCCACAAAATTTTACGGAAATCTCGATGAAAATAGATTTTAGATTCTGAACGTATCAAAGAAACTATTGGTTTTACTACGATGGATATTTCTTTCTTTTTTGTTCCAGTCCGTGGGCACGTTTTCTCCTAATAAACTAGCTCTGGTTTTTACGTGTAGCAACTTTTCCGAAAGCTCAAGTTGTTTGGATTGTAATCTAATCAGGTCGTTTTTGATTTTCGACGCCATTTTTTAAATAAAAGCACTTAAGTGGGAAAAAAAACGCGGAAAAATGTACAAAAAACACGGACGACGTTTTCTACCAAAAAAAAATTTTTTAATCGAAAAATCACAAGATAATTTTTAGAAATTTCCTTATTGATTTAATTTCTTACGGAACTATTGCCAACACTTTTTAGCTTACGAGGAATTTAAATTTTTGGCTTTAATTCGGTTTTAAATACACGTTGAGACTTGGAACTTGGTAATAATACTTAAATTGGACTTATCTAGACGTGGTGAAATTTTAAAAAATGATCTGGCGACTTTTTTTTTAATAAGCGTTTTGAAATCAAATTTAAACGGAAATCATAAACAAAATTACGGAACTTCAAATTATGTATTACCGAACTGCACTCGGAATCGTATTTTGTCAAACAATGGTTTATCACTGATTACAGATATAAATAAAATAACCTTATGTATCTTACCTTTCCAATTTCACACCCACAACAGGAGCCGCACCCGTCCTAGTAGCAGCTATTTTTTTTTCCATTTTTAATCTCAGAAGTAGTTTTTGTCAACGAAGAAGATAAAGACAATGTCGGTTTCGTTTTATTTTATCATTAGACAGTAGGCATATATTGTTATTTTTAATTGTTAGCGGTTTTCTTGGTTTTAGAAAATTTTAACTGATACATGTGTTAGTACATTAGGAAGTGTCTATCTCTATAGACGAAGGATTGGACATAATGGCTTAAAAAAGCACGCGATTTATATTATAGGCATTAGTTAAGTAAATAATTAAATAATTATAGGTTGTATTATTTATTTATTTATTTGTCTATTTACTACAGGACTAGCCCAGATTACAATGTACATACTTAGTATTATACAATAAAATATACATTAACAAATATATATATATATATATAGAATAATAAAACGTGATGAAAGTTGATTAAAAAGTTAAATCAAAAGAAGTGTTGGTATTAGCGGTGCGCCGCATAAGACGAATAAGAGAACGGAGAAGATAATTAGATGAAAATAAAGAAATATGGAATGGGATCGATGAACGTGTGCGACGATAGGGAACGTTAAATGTGATGCGGAATATAATCTCGGAACAATCAATTTTAGAGGGAAAAAGGTTAGATAGGAATGAGATGCATGCAGAGTGCCGACAGTCAGAGAGACTATCCATGGATAAAAAGCGTTGGACAGGGGTATAATCATGAGGGAAAGGGTGTTTAAAGGCAGCATGACGAAGGGATTTTCTTCGGACCTTTTCTATCATATAACGAATGGCAGCGGTAGAAGGGTCCCAGAGCACAGAGTCGTATTCGAGAATAGGACTCACTAGAGAACAAAAAAGAGCTTTTAATGGAGCGACCAGAGAAACTTCCGTAGATATCCGATTAATGAAACCCAATAATTTGGAAGCCTTACAATTATTACTTAGATATGCATATTAAGGCATAGAGACTGTGCAAGAGTGAAACCTAAGTCTTTTAAAGTGTCATTTACAATTGACAAGGGTATGTTATTGACAGAGTAAGTATACTTGACTGCAGAATTGGTACGACAGAATGTCATAACTAAGCAATTCGATGTTTGTAAGTGTCCATGATACTAAACGTTGAAGTTGATTCCGGAGAAACCTACAGTCAGAAATGTATTTTATGCGGAGGAAGAATTTCGTATCATAAGCAAAGACGAGAATTTTAGAATGATGTAGTACCGAGACAGCTGAGTTTATAAATAGGGAGAATAGTATAGGAGATAGTACAGCGCCCTGCGGTACGCCAGACGATAGCGTTGAGTAGACTGAATAGGCGGTGTGGTCTTTTACCTATTTTACTTTGCTGACTAGATACGAGCGAAGCCAAGAAAGCCATTATAAAATATTTGTCAGTTTATAAAAAAAAAATAAAATGTTTTACGTATCAATCATGCATGCAAATTGAATGCTGGCTACGTGCCTGACGCCGAGCATATAAATAATAAGTAATACAATATGAGAAATATATATATATATATTGTAAGTGCACGATAAACATGGATCATATTCAGAGTCATAACTTCAGAGAAGTAGCCTCAATCTTTAGCGATACCTAAGTCATTTAAACTAAGTTATATGAATCCATAGGCATTCGAGGCGCCGCCTCGTATTCTATGAGTTATTATGGAGTTGTTTACCAGTCACATTGGTATAGAACTCCGTATAGTCTACTCGCATGATTTTCGGCGAACTTCTTGTTTACGTTTTGGATAAATTGTATATCCTCAAATCATGATACCTAGTGTGTCTATACCTATATACTGCTGCTTCAATGATACGAATAGTGAAATTATTTTTACAACATTGACTGAATTTGACGTTAGATTTACTACCGTATTTGTTAGCTCCACAGTTGTATGCTATAGGTCCAACTAGTCAGTATAATTTACGATAATTTGATTTATAATTCTGTTTCTTACGATTGTTTCCGGTCGAGCTGAGATTCAATGGTGCACACCCGAATTTTTTTGCGGGATAATTATTATGTGGTCCAGTACAGCGGTATGCTCAGCATTTGCATAAGAGTTTGTGTGTAACTCGTAACATATAATTAGTAATAGGTAAAAAAAAAAAAGGTCACCAGGGATATGCGACACCTTCATCCTACCATGTACGCCCCTGACCTAGAGACGTTGCACGTTGCACATTATGAACTGTATAGTTGTATACGTTGAATGCGCAAATGTTTTTTTTTTTTTTTTAATTTTTGGAAATTTCAAAAACCCGATAAATATTTACGATATTAAAAATAAATTAATACAAAACTAAAAAAAATAATACGGAATTTGTTTGTTCTTGTGAACAACTTTTCTACGAGCAATGTTCCTCTGATTTACAATGATACAATTTTTTTTAAAAGGAAATATTTGAGGAAAGGGACTTTAAGGAGGTCATTTTTTTTAATTTTCCAGGAGCTTTTCAAATAAATGGGAAAAACGTAGGAAAAACGGGAAAATAGGTACAATATAAAACAAATAATAAGTTAATTAAAAAGAAGGAGGTAAAAAAAAAAAAAATAAATATGCATTACTACGCCTATGTACTTATTTCACCGTATAATGACACATATATATCGTTGACAAAGCAACACTATCAACTGAACTCCGCTCAGAATCCTTCAATTGTTGCTTACAGACAAACCTACATAAAATTTCCCCTCTACTACATTTCCTTAATGTTTTTTTTACGGAAATAATCAATAAGTTTTAAACTACGGAAATACGAAACTAATTGCGGTTGGTTAGGTCTCCATATTATATATATATATTACGTCAAACGATTTTAACTCAACGTAGGTAGGTATAATATAATACTGCGTTATGTTATTTTAGCGAAACTGTAGCAGACAGCTTATAATATACCGCGCGATCCGCGTACACGCGAATGTTTACGAATTCGCTTGAGTTAATATTACTTTATTAAAAAAAAAAGAAAATAATAATAATTATAAACTGGGAGGATGATAATACGTTATGTTTTTATTTTTTTTTTATTTTTATTAATATTAAAGCGAGTGAAAACGTTGATTATAAAATTAGAGGAATAATAATTTTTATACGGTGGCGCGGACGAGGCGTCGGTGAGTTTAAAAGACTCGCGGGTGATCGTCGTGTGCACGTATGCAAACAAATTAATTATAAAACAGATGATGATAACAGATAACGTTACCAGAACAATCACATGGATGAATCTCGAAAATACACAATAGGAAATTGTTTAATATCTAGATAAAATAATAATTATAATTTATTCCTTTAATTATCAAATGCCGTACAGTTTTGAATAAATTAAACCCCTACTGGATATTTTTCACATTTGGATTTTAAAAAGAAAATTAATTTATATTTATATTTAACCATATCGTATAGACATTTGTATAAATTATAACATTTGAACTGTAATATTAATATTTACATTATTCAAACTAATTTATGAGTTACACTCATCAAAACACTTATTTATCAAAACTTCAGTTACGATTTCCATCGGGTAACTTCTGAATGAAACTCGGATGAATACTTTTAAATTGAGAAAAGAAAAACTACTTCCAAACTGATTTTGTCGATTTTTTCTTCAAAATATAATAAACAACTATTATTTACTTAAGCAAATAAAAAAATGTTGGGTAACTTGCACGGTTTTGAATTATGCATCATAATATATTTTGGTTAGCTACATTTTTTACTTTTTTTTTTTTTTTTTTTTCTGAAAAATAAAATAGTAGAGGTAGTATAATACATTAATAGAGGTTATAAATCATATTTTTTTCTTTTTTTTTTTCGAAATACATTTTTCATAACGTGAATTTATCTATATATTAAATCGAAACGCGCCGCCGCCTTTGAAATTCGCAGGAGCGATAATTCTCAATTCACGTAATACGCAATATTAAATATATAAATACATGTATAACAATAATACTACCTTATAAGGGAGCCGGCAGTTTTCAAAACTATCCGAAATCACCCGGCGCCTGCCGTATTACCGAACATTGCTCGATATAACAATCGTCGATTGAAAAAAATAAGACTATAATTGCAAATACGGTAAAAAAAAACAAACATTTCACGTACAATTTAAATAGAAAAAAGTACACGTCGAAAACGTATTTTATATTCGACACTAATATATTCGGACTTAATACAAATTATTTGTTATATTAATTATGTTGTGCTATTATTGATGAAAAGTATAAAGTACCTGTTACGTCTAAACGTAATTAGAAAATTCGACTACGTTTCGTTTTAGTTTTAGTAGGCACGTTCGTCGATCGTTATTTTTTTCTTCTTCTAATCAGACAACGTTCGTGTATTACAAACATATTTCAACCGAACGACGTCTGTGCGATAACAGACGGAATCGTCAATAAACGTCGCGTCACGACGGCATATTTTTATCTATCGAACAAAAACACGATATTCCCACTCGCATACCGCGATCTAACGACGATAACGCGGGCCCGTGCGATAAACACGATATTATCGTGTAGTAAAAACGCGTGCAGTTCACGGACATCAAATATTTTATGGACACGTTTGTTGCGTACAGGATAGTGTTATACGTCCCGCGGTAAAAAAGAAATGCGACCGCGGGGTGAAATCGTTCCGCCGGACTGCCCGCGGTCCGGGAACGGAGAAACCGCGGAGATACGGCCGCCCGCGCGTCCGGGCCCCGAGGCGGGCGTGCACGCCTTACAGCGCGCGTAACGTGAAACAATATTATTGCGCATCCCGCACGCGCCGTACACCGTAACGTTAACGCGCGCGCGACGCGACGTTTTCCGTACGACCGAGTGGCCCGTCCGCGGGCCCGCGCGATCCACGCGCCCGCCGTACCCGTGCGCCGGGGAAAACGGTCGTTCCGATTCCGCGGGCCGAACCCGACCGCGGACGCGTTACAAACGGGCGTTTGCGCCGGAGCCCCGTCTGCGCGACCCGGTCTCCCGAGCGGACCGGACCGGCGCAGTCGAACCGAGACCCCGAGCGGACCGGACCGGGCCGGACACCGTAACGTTAACGCGCGCGCGACGCGACGTTTTCCGTACGACCGAGTGGCCCGTCCGCGGGCCCGCGGAATCCACGCGCCCGCGCGATCCACGCGCCCGCCGTACCCGTGCGNCGGGCCGAACCCGACCGCGGACGCGTTACAAACGGGCGTTTGCGCTGGAGCCCCGTCTGCGCGGCCCGGTCTCCCGAGCGGACCGGACCGGCGCAGTCGAACCGAGACCCCGAGCGGACCGGACCGAGCCGGACAATGTTCGTGGCCGTTTTCTGAATTCAGAATTGCCTGCGACCACAGCGTAATTCGCGAATCGCGTTCACGTCACGGCCGCCCGGTGTTAATATACAAATCACTCGATAAACTGATATTTTACCGCCGTGTCACCCCGTTCCTGTCTAGCGCGTTAGGAATAATTCGGCCGGATATGATTACCCCGGGACCGGGACGATTGTTTAATTTTTCTACGCATTACCAGTGGCGTGACAGAGTAGGCGTTTTTGAGACCGATTGCCTCACGACTAAAACGGGCGAGCGATTAGGTGACCAAATGCGTTGAATGTTGATTAAGACCGTCTTTTAGTTACCTCTAGTTCATCTAAAAGAGATGGTTTTAGTTAGTTTTGTGTAGCATAACCGTCCCGCCCGGCCTTGCCCGTGCCAATTTTCATTTTATACTATTGATGGCTAAACGTAGGTTGCGCGTATATTTATTTTAGACTATAAAATGTGTATTTTTCCTGTCCGTCAACAAATTTTATACCGATCTTTCTGCCTCGATCGTCGACTTTAACGGCGATAGCGTCCGGTAGAAAATAGGCATTATCTAGCTAGTGCAATATACTGAGCAATTTTACAGTTTAATAATAGAGAAAAAACACCGAGGAAAACATCAGTTATATTTAATTAGGTGTTTTTGATAAAAAAAAAAAAATTTTTACTTTTTTCAGTAAAAATAATATTTTAGAGGTCGGAAATTTCACCAAATACCTACTTTCAAGAAATAGTACAGTTTCCGCCGTTTAATATTACTATTGATGTAGCGAAGCAATCAAAATGTATAATATGTTATAGTATTTTTTTTTGCACGCGCGCACGCGCATCTGTGTAATACCTCTATAAAATCTATCATGCAACTATATAACGATCGCTAAACGAGTACAACGGATTTGCAGTAAGTACGCGTTTAGATTTTAAAAACGACAACAGGATAGATGTAGTCTCGAGTTGAACGCATACGCCTTATTAATTAAATGTGTTTCCGGTTATGTAAAACAAAGCGTTTGGTTTACGGTTTAAAACGGTTCGATGATATATTTCAGACGGGGGGCCCGGTAACGCACGCACCGTTTGTCCGGATGAGACATTATGCATGCGGATGAAACGTATCACCGCTGAACTAAAATTTAGAACACGGCGTTATCAAAATTGTAATTGCTGGTTAACCGAGTTATTATTATTGTTATTCAAACGGCATAACCGTAAACAACATCGCGGACATTTAATCAACTTTGTTTCGATCGAAATTTCGGTATTTATCGTCATAATACGCGAACCAAACGGCCGGCTGATGCGAATCTATACTCCCACTGTCGTATCGTAATCATCATCGGGAACGTTTCGAATTTGTTTCTGCAAAACAAACAAATTCAAATTTAAACGTTTACACAATAGTTTAAATAGAATAACCGATTCGGGCGGCAGCGCCTACCGATATTTCCTTCAGCAGTCCGATCATTATGCTCGCGATTTCCCGCGTAAAGTCGTTCACGTTCCGTTTTAATTTCGCGTCGTTCGCCTTTCCGTAAACGTCACTGCCGTTAATGATTAGATGTTTGAATGACGTTTTAAATTGTTTCCGAAACGACTCCAGATTTGATATTTCGGGAAGATCCCAGTTGTTTCGCGACAGGCTGTCGACGGCCTGATACCAGCTGGATACGGTTTTTTCAACCGTTTCGTTCACGTCTGACTCGTTTTGTAACTGTACATCAATAATAATAATAACAATAATAATAATAATAATAATAATAATGTTAATATCAATCAGTCAAACAGCATATTTAACATAATTGTATACGGTTTTACCTAACCTAGCTAATCTTTTTTTAATACATAAAAATAGCTGGAACACAGGGCAATTCGAAATTTATATCGGCAACGTATATAGGATGATAAACACACAAATGGGAAGCACAAAATATTCGACACGAACTACGGGAAGTTTAATATAATACATAAGTTGTATACAAAATATAAAAACGTTACGAGGATATTTTTTTGGGGAAATTGTACACATATTCGACCACCTGAATGTACACAACCTTCATATTCGGCAGTGTACAGAAATTTTTCGGAATTTCAATTCCGTCAACAGACAGCGTTAATTTCGTAAGAATGCGTGTGCGTGAAAAATCTTTCCTGTTACTTGTTTAAATGAATAGTTAAAATATTCCCACCGCATTATATAAATCCAATTTTCTGTTCGAAATATTTCTTTACATTACCGCAGGGCTTTTAAATATTTGTATATTTTTACTCGTTTTCCGATAACGAAGGCGGCGGCATAGCGAGTTTTTTTTTTTTCTGGAATCGTAATATTTAACTTCAGCTGTTGTAAAACAGCGTGTCAATTTATTATTGTAATTCACGGCGTACGTAAACAAATAGCAAAAGTCTTCGCGAAGACGGACGAATTTTAACGCTCGTTCATGGTGAAAAAAAAAATGATAAAAGACAAATAAGGGGATTTTTCCCTCTCTACTTTAACTGAGTAGCGACGGTGGTGGAAAAAAATTTGAAAATTATTAAAAATTATATGTGTATGGATGGGATCACGTCAATCCAGTGGCGTAGCGATAGGGTGACATGACGGGTAATAAGCCACCGGTCAATGACATTTAAAGGCCCCAAATCAAGGCCCAAGGTCTAAAGTAACCTACACTTTGTGTCCCGTATATGATATACAGGATGATCGGTGAACAATATAACGTAACACAATCATTATTTCGAACATTTATAATAAATAAGTAATAATATCTTTCGGAATTGTATTTACGAAAAATTTAAGAAACAATTGTTGCTTAAGCGACTCTAAAACGATATATTGCAATAATTTTGTTCCACCTTACGTTTGGCGATTGAAACCATCACTATATCGCATATTGAATTTAATATGAAATTTCATGTCAAACATTCCGAAAATGGATAAAATCGTATAGCATTTTGGGATTGTTATTTTTTAATTATCATCAAACTGTTGATGCTCACTTTAAATTTCATCATTTCTGGGGTTAAGTTGGTTTTGGTTGGATTCGATTTTGTGTTACAAGGCTGTTTTGAAAATGTACAAACGCGAATAAAACATTGTTTTTTTTTCGCTAGCGATTATGGGACGATATTAGCAATTGAATTTGTGTCTAATTTTAATATGTTTAGGTGAAAAAAAATTCGACGGACAAAAAAATATTTAAACAAAATTTAATATTAACAGAGATATTAAAAAAATCCGTAGAACACGGCGGTACACTCTGTATATTGTATATCAAATTATACCGCGTTTAGTATAATTTACGTATCTATCGATTCGTCGAAAATAATATTATATGATTACGTTTAAAAGGAAAATGGAAAATAGATTTGTAACGAGCACCTATATAGTACATACTTGAACCGATTGCGAGCACACGAGACGTCCGCAACGCATAGTACCGAGATCGTTTTATTTATTTTTTTTTTTTTGTCGAGCGAATTTTCACGGTTGTTCTCGCATACTGTACCAACTCGTAAACTCGCGAAATAATTCCAAACACACACACCCGTGTACACGGTTTTCGTACGCATAGTACGTGCGCTACAGCTGCTGCTGTATACAGAGTATCTATAGTGTATATATATATATATATATATATATATACAATAACTATTTACATATTGTCGAGTTTATTTTCCGCGAGAAAAGGTCGACAATAGCTCCGGCAGCAGCGTCCATGTAGCCCATGCAACGCGTTTGATCTTTTGAGTACAGTGTCGAATTTAAATAATTTTCTTTTTAACTTACCCATATTGTATTAATACGTTTTCTGTATATACAATTTATTGTATCGATTTTCCGGTCACGCGTTCGATTTTGCGCCACCGTGTCTGCATGGGTAACATGATAATGCAAATAATAACAAATATCTTGTTCATCAATTTAATAGAATATTATGTCGACGAATTTTGCAAATTGTATTTCCTAAACAACCCCATCTTGGTACGTCTCGCAGTTCACATCGGCCTAGACTACACGTTAAGAAATTAGTTTAACGTAAAACACTTTTTGTTTCGCAAAGTTATGTGTAACAATTGAATAATTGCAGTGTACGCAATTGTTAGAAATTTAAGAAACATATGGACTAAAATTATGATTACATTGCCGTTACATTTTTCAACCTAAATTTTGGTGGTAAAACGACAATCTAATTTTGATTTTAAAATGGTAATCCGTACATAAAAATACACACTTAGGCGAAGTATTATTTTAAAAATATTTTGGTTTTAGAATTTTCAATTTCCGTCGATTCGTTAACGAGATATTTCAATTTTATGTACAAGTAAGTGGAGTGTATAATATGGTTACGAGTTGTGAGGCTATTTTTTAAATAATCGCTTCTTTTTTTTTTTTTTAATAGGGATATCGTCGGAAAACTAGGCATATTTATGAGTTCTGTTATTTTTAGTTTTTTCAAAACTTTTTTGGCTTGGGTTTGTACACATTATCATTTTGAATTATTCAAGCTTTGAAAACAACGAAATTAACGGCAAAAATATATAATGCATTTTCGTAATTTTTTTTTTTTCATATTTTAGACCATCAACATCCTATGTTCCTAACAGAATACAAATCGAGTATTATATTAATGAGTAAACGAAACCATAAAAATCCACAGCATAGGAGTGTTTTGATATCACAGATGAAACGATGATTGCTCTAGTGATGTGCTAATAGGTTTTATATGGTTTATCGGTTTATTGTTTATGCGGTTGTTTTTCAGACGTTGATTGCAGCTGTATGATCGAATTTTAACGGCAGCGACGTATACGCGGGATAACCGCGGAAGTCGTGTTTGGGGATTTTAATGAGTATGAGTATGTGGATCATATTGCAAGAATGGAGATAGCGAAGGAAGTGCATTATATATTATACGCTATAAGAATTCGAGAGCAATAGGAATTTTCGGCATGTTGCTGGAGATAAAATGTATCGCATTAGATGTACTTACGGACTTTGACCAAACGGCCAACTTATTCTTGAACCTCACGCAATAGTTGAGAAATCCGTTTTTGGCGACAGCGCCGCGTACCGTGGATTCTTCTGTTCCGGTATATTCGAACTCGGACCACATCGTCGTGATATAGACAACGGCGACCTCGTAATTGGAAGCCCATTCGAACGGTACCCCGTTCGTCTATATAAGTACACGAAAAATCGCGTTCGTAATAATATCAAAAAAAAAAAAAAAAAAATTGTATTATTGTAATAGCCTCTTTAAAATTCGAGGTTAAAAAAAATAAAATAAATAGCCATTTTTTACTTACCGAACACATTGTGTCGCCGACCAAAGACGAGACATCGGGAGGACATAACGCGGTAAGACTTTTGTCTGCAGTACTATTTGCGAAAACCAACTGAACAAAATCGAGAATATAACAATATACACAAATAATTTCACACGTTAACTTATCCTTACGCACGTTATTGTTTCGTACCAAGTTGTTCATATCGTAATTATATATTAGGAAAAATAAATGTTTATTAGAATTAAAAGTTATAATTATAAAAGTTAAAAAATAACAATATTAGTAATAAAATAAAAGCTCCCTTAAAATTTTTGAGTTCACCCCCAATCTGTGAGACTTCACTTCCCACACCCTGCTTACACCAGGTTTTAAACATAATTCAATAATTGTTAATTTAGGAGAAAATAGAATCGCTAATAACATTACTGCAGGTTAAATTTTTGCTTGTATTATTTATTTCAGATTCTACGATGAAATGTGTTTTTAATATTTTTTTATAGCAAAATGTATGTACTCGAAATGTTTTTCCGGTCATAAAATTATATCTAGTTAATGTAATGAGAAAATACCATTTTTCGGTTTATCTTGTAGTATTCTTTAGTTTGTATATATAAATATTCTAATTGTTTAGATTTCAAATCTAAATGAAAACGCATTTTGATAAATTACATAAATTTGTTCTAAACAATTATTTGAGGCATATCGTTCCAGGCATTCCCCCGCTCATTCGAGCGCTGAGCGTGGACGATAAAAATAGGTGATATTATATTATATATAATATCCCGACCAAAATTGATATTTTCCAAACAATAAAATCCGATAAAAATCCATTTTCTTCTAATAACGGAATTCGTTTTTCTCCAACTGCCGTTAAAAATAAACTAGATATAATATTTTTGAAGGGTAACGACTTTATAAAGAGTCACGATCATATATATATATATATATACATTAATACATAGTGTCCCACCAAGATATACCCGTTACGATATCACCTGGGATTATAAAGACAATCAAATTTTGTTTTTTATATTACGTACTCTTCGCAGGGATAAAAATATCTATAGTTTAACTAATTTTTTATGTCTTGGTAAAAATTGTATAAAATACATTTTTATTATATATTTTAATATTTACTTTATTTTGTTATTTTCGACAAATTTGAAAATAATAATTTTATAGAGTTTATTCTTCTGAAAATGTTGAAGTATCAACTTTTTATTTTCATTATATACGGGAAGTTCAGAGAAAAAAAGCATGCAGTCAACAAGCAATAAAAATAATAATCAATTAAATAATACGATTATAGCAGACTTCATAATTTTAGGTAATTTTCTCTGGACTTATATTTATTAAAAATAATAAATTTAATGAAAATAAAAATTTGATACGTCAAATTGTTCAAAAATAATTAAAAAAGTTATTTGTTTAGTTTTAAAAACAAAATTATTTAAATATAAATATTTGTAGTCCATATCCTTGCAAGTAATATAATACACATAAAAAAAAAAAAAAAAAAAAAACAAACAGAATTTGATTATCGTTATTATCTCATGAGTTAAAGTAATGGATACATCTTCGTGAAACTACCGTGTCGTATGGTCGTAATCGATTGAAAAAAAGGAGATATAAAGTTTAAGAGAATATTGGGATACGAATATAATTTATCTTGGATTAGCGTATAACGTTGACAGTTGCAGCAATAATGACTCGGATTGACTACGGAAATCGTTCGTCTACAAATTACAATGCATTAACAAATAAAACATATTATAACGTTTGCAAACATTAGTGTAATATTTATGAGCGTTCGTTGACGGTCATATCAATATGCCCGATGTTGGGATTCTGCATGTCAGTGTATTCTAAGAATACACGTAAACGACTTTATAAAAAAAATTAACTATCGAATTTTTTTTATACAGAATGATTATTTAATTACGAGCTGACGTAAATTCGGAGTAAATTTGAATTAATACAATATATACCGACCGGGAAGTAAACGAAATAAGTTTGCTATTTAAAAATTAATGTCGTTCTGCGTGAAAAAAACTCGAATACGAATTTACTGCGTATAATAGGTGCTCCGTCGTTACTATACGAAACCTGCGTGGATAACCGCTGCGGATTCGCGATAAAATGAAAATGGTCTTGTATACCGGGCGTTTGGAAAATAATTTAATAATTGTTGGTATACGCGCGAAAAAGAGGGTGAAAAAACCGTCGGATTTCCATTGAAAGAAGTAGAAGAAAAAAAAAAAAAAACGCGAAAATAATGTTTGCGCACTCGTGTATCGGTTCTTCGCGGGGTTTCGGCATCGCCGCGCCGGGCCTCGTTTTTTGCAAAATCTTTTTACCGTGACATACGGCTAGGGATTTCGTCAAAATCGCAGGAGCGGCAGATTGCGAGGTCCCCGCGTTAATCTCTCGGATCGATGGCCCCGGCGGGTCGGCGAATTTGTGGAAGGGTAATGGGGATGAGGAAGGACATTTGTCACGGATAAATACAAAAACCCTCGTATATATTATTACACACACACACACACACATATATATATATATATATACGAGCACTTGCCACAGTATCCCCCGAAACCGGGCTCACGTCACTACAAATTATCAACTATTTCTCAGACTGGCCGCCATTTTGAATATCCCCACGCCGTCGTCTTTGATACACTGCACGCGAAATAATAATAATAATAATAATATCATTATCCAACCCACATTTTCTACGGGCGGAGCAGTATAAATATTATCTTTTACACCTGCTTACGGATATTTTAAGTAGGTACACCGACCCACCGAAAACTGATCGAGTAGACAGATTTTTACACATGTATGTAAAAACGACGAGACCGGACGAAGAACCGATCGGGTACCGGTGTCTGTCACAGTTTAATAAAATGAAAAACCCCGGTGATAATACACCAAGTCATTACCCCGGGCTCCGCCTTATCGTCAACTCTTTCTCTCACAATCGTTAATCCCACCGGCCTCCGGAAAAAAATTATAAACAGGTGTGTGTTCCTATGGAAAGCCGATAACAAAATTATATATTGTCGTACGGCAGGAAAAAATATACCGTTTCGCTTAAGTAAACTGGAAAGATTTTTATTTTTATTTTTTTTTTTTTTTTACTCTTAATACCACCGGTCTATATCGACCGAGAAGAGTGGTTTTTTTTTTTTTTTATGAATTCCGAAGTAGACAATTCACCCGACAAATTGCGAAAAAATCTTAAAAACGACGTGCGGTCTATAAAATATATCTACAAATAAATGTAGATACATAAAACCAGCGTACGTTTTCCGTACTTATAATATATTATAAGTAACTCGTTTGGGTTTTTGTTTTCCTTCTGACGGGAAAAAACATAGCATATTCATATCAACAGTAGAAACAGCAGTTGTCCTGCAGCTTATAAAAACGACTGTACATCCCTAAGTCAAATAATGTTAATAGTATGTTTGAGTGTATTGACAAAAATACAAAGTGGTCATTTAGTATCGTAAATTAATTACAAAAATCTTTTTCGCACACGATTATTCGTCTATTCCTCCATAACTTTTGCTCTGATCGTCAACTTCAGGATTTAGGAGTGGTTTCTGGTTTCAGGTTTTGTGCCAGGTAGGCGAATCGAGGAGTCGGTTTTTCGATTTTTCATTGTATTTGTATAAATAATACAACTGGAAAAACCCGAGAAAAAATGTCAAAAGACTAGGGAATTTGCTCTATAACGGTTTCTGTTATTTTAGATTTTGTCTTATTGTCGGTTAAACATTATCGTAGAACCCTGAAATTTGTTCAGTATACTTTCATTAGAAATCATAAGACGTGGTATAATTTTTAAAAAAAATCTGACGATTATTCAATTATCCATTAGAAATTACGAATTATTTGAGTTTTTATTTGGTTTTACGTAAAACATTGTTGGTTTCTTAAAAACTATTGAAAATTTTACACAATATTCATCATTAACTGTTCCTTTGGTAGTAGGTACATAAATATCGAAAATTCGTATTTTTTTTTTTTTGTATGCCTTTTGAAGCGTTCAACGTTTAAATAAATTAACGAGATCGATCGTTTATTGCGAAATCAAATCCAGGTTATAATTTCCGTTTTATTTTGAAGCTATTTATGACTATTTTATTATTATGGGTAGATACCTATTTATTACACACGATACGATTTAATGTTATTACATTTTGTTTAACTGACCGATTATGATTTTTCCATTACTGCAGTATATTGCCACAGTCAGCAGGTGTATCAATAAAGGTCAATAAATGACGCGTAACACGCATTATTTTAACAACGGTTGCTATGATTAGACGGTAACACGAAAATAATTAGTTTTAAAAACATCAATGAAAATCAAATTGCCATCGTTCGAATCGAATTTTCTCCCATTTATTTTGTACTGAAGAAATGTTTTTTTTTTATAAAAAAACAAAAAAAAAAAAATATAATAATAAATTAATACGTTTATAATGCAATTATTATTACACGTATATACTATGTATTTACAACTTTCTAAAGTAAACGGTGAGTGTAAAACGTACAAATGATAGAGACCGAGATTAAAAGTTGAAACCACCAAAATGTAAATCCCTATTTATATAAAAGTCATTAATATAAAAAAAAAAATGTTATCCACCCAGTTTCATTTAGAGGTCTGCAGGTGTGATCAAAACTAAATGGCTAAACTGGCCATAATAACCACGAACGTGGTGAACGACACGTATTATTAGGATTTCGAGTAAAAATACAGGGAGTATTTCAAATGTATTAAGAATATGTATTTCAAATTCATTACATGTAATAATATTTCGGTGACTATTTTAAATAAGTTTTCGGATATTTTTTCTAACATACATTTACTCGACAAATTAACAAGTCTGCCACTTAGCGCGGCAGTGAAAATTAAATTTTAATTCAACTCGACTTCAATCGGCCTTTAAAATCTCCTTGTTTAAGATCGCCCGGTCCAGATGGAGCCGTTAAAAGTATGTACGAAACTAAAGTGCCGATATAATTTATAGTCGCTCAGAAAGGACGGAAATAAAATCGAAACAACAACAATAATATTATTATTGCAATAATATTGTTGTTTTTTTTTTTTTTTTTTTTTTTTTTTTTTTTAGTTTTCATCGTACGACCAATCGAGAACCGGGAGATCCTGCTGCGGTAAGACTCAATTCGCAATCATAATATTGTCGCGGGAAAAAGTANGGACGGAAATAAAATCGAAACAACAACAATAATATTATTATTGCAATAATATTGTTTTTTTTTTTTTTTTTTTTTTCTTTCGATTTTATTAAATAAATTCGAGTGTTTTTAACGCGCGGCGATAAAATATATTACGACAAAGAAAAACCTGTGAGCGTAAGAACCGCGCACAAAAATTGAATTACATCAATTTCACCGGGGGTATACGTATAATAATAATACATCGTCAAACTGCACCGCGCGCAATACCACCGGGAATTGAACGTTTTCATAAAAACACAAAAGTACCTATATACATACAACATCATAATGCCGTGGTAACGTTATAACGTTCCGACAACTGTACTCTTGATTAATTATTTCGAACCGCGTGTTATTATCTCGTGGCGATGAGTAGTTTACGAGTATACTATTGATTAAAAAACAAATATTATAGCGTACCGCGAGCGCGTAGCGGTTTTTTTTTTTTTTTTTTTTTTTTTTTTAGTTTTCATCGTACGACCAATCGAGAACCGGGAGATCCTGCTGCGGTAAGACTCAATTCGCAATCATAATATTGTCGCGGGAAAAAGTAATTTAAAAAAAAACGCATATGTACTCGCGTGTGTAAAAATAACACTAGCAGAACGCGTTCAATTTGAATACGGTATCTCCGGGACCGCGCGTTCTGTATTTACGAAAACGAAATATATTCCTCTTATGATACGGTGAAAAACGCGTAAAAATGGCACCCCTCCATTATAGTCTGTTGTTTTCTTTCTATTTTTTTCTATTTCTGCCGGTCCCGGTGACTCGAAAGTATATGACGCGTATAGGTAATAGAATGCAATAGAGGTGGCGGTTTTATATACGAGTTTATTGCGTAGTGCATTGTTTATCGCTCCCTTTAAATTGCGAGACGAAAAAGTTTACACCTACTGCGGCGATAACGTCGATTAAATCTGAAAAAGTGCGGGCGCCCATGCCGTATAGCGGAGAGGTTTTATAACAATATTAACATACACCGTACTCGTACATCATTTTTGTTTTCGAGAATGCACGACCGCGAAGACGCGTACACCTCATACGCGCCGCACGGATATTATACAGGGCGATCCCCATTTGTCGCCGACCGGCGAATTTTTTTTAAGTGAATTCGAGTTTTGTTCGGTTTTTCGGTCATCGTTTACGTTTTCTTTTTCAAATGTTCACCCCAAATCCATATACCTACTTTAAACGATTGTATCCGTTGGGTTTTACATTGGCAATACCCCCCGTTTTACACACGGATTTTAATAGAGAATTTTTTTCGAAAATATTGTACACGAGCAACACTTGTTATTTCGGATTTACTGTTAACGAGTTTAAACGGTTTAGCATTTAAACCAGAGGCGTAGGGACGTAGAGTTTTAAATTTACCATCTAAAAATGGATATGAATTTGATTACCTGATTTAAAGTATAAGCAGATGATTGGAACAGGGGTGAACGGATTTTAAATAAATTTTAACCGGTTCTATAATAATGATTGCGAAAAACAGTATTCGAATTCAATAGAAATTCTCAAAGAAAATCGCTGGTTTATGATGAACGTATCCCCCTGTAAATAGCATACAGTGCAATTAGCCTAATGGTAATACAAAAGAAGACAAGTCGGAATTTTACTTGGGAAATTAAAAATAAAAGTAAGAAGTCAACGAAATAAAAAGGTGATAATATTAAACTTGACGTTTAACTTTTTGAATATTTTTGAAAAAATTAAAAGTTATATAGTAAATTTGATAGTAAATTATTCGGACGAACACGTTTCCGTTAAATAACGGTACCTTTTAAAATATTGACTAGAAAAAGTTAATACTATCCGAGATAATGGGCGTACCCGCTCAAATCAATCACCTGGTATGGTACGTTTAAAACTTTGACCGGAACACAATCTCGATACATTTGTGTAAACAGTAGAAGCCGCTTATTTGGACCAAGGACAATTGATACGATCGCGTTATTGAAACAAAATGTACAGGGACGGACCGGTCGGTATATTAAAACCAATCGTTTATTAGAAACAATCGGTTAATCGACACGTTTCACCTCGGTCCCGAAGTGTTCCTAATAAGCGGCTTATACTGTATACACATATGTGTATCGCGCGAAACAATAACGGCGGGTCAAAGAAGAAAACGAATATTAAAATATTATTATTATTTACAATCGGCTTACTTGCGGCGTTACGGTGCATGCGATGACGGAGGCGGCGGCGGCCACGGTAAGAACCCGCAACGAATTACTCGACTTTCCGCCCATAATTCGGGATCGTAAAAACAAAACGAAAAAAAAAAAAAAAAACTATTCTTATATTAATTTTGTTTCGATCGTTTTTTTTTTTTTGTAAACGACGACGCCGGCGTATTTAAAACTGCCTGTGTAATAATATAATATAAAATATTTAAAAACGTACCGATAGTTTTCGTCGGACGCGCGTTCGGATCGGAATGCGGACCGAAAACGGTAAGTTCATCGTTAACGTATATACTCTATACGTAATCTCGATAATAATGATAACAATTACCGTTATTACTATTGCCGTAGCAGTGGGTCGCAAAGTGCGTTCGAACGACCCGATTATTGCCGAACGAACTTTGTATAATAATTACGCGCTATTTATATATATACGAGAACACTGCGCCGCCGTCGATATAATGATAATAAAAATAATGATAACAGTTACACACGTAGCGCCGCAGTCGTTGTCTGCGTGTTATAAAAGTCACTTTATACTGCAGCGCATCCCGGGGAACCGAGAACTCTGCAGCGGCTCCGTATCCAATAGAGTTTTACGAGAGAAATGTATAACGTTATTATGATTATTGCCATTTGCGAAAAACGTTGAAAATCCACTCGTGTACGCGGGCCCCACACGCTGGGAGACGCTACTTTGACGCAATAACGGTCTGCAGTACACCGGCGAGCAGGGGCGTTGTGTAGGGTATACCCCCACCANCCCCCCCCCCCCCCCCCTCAGACAACGGCTTACAAATAAAACCACTGCGGGTAGGTGTTTATGTTTGTAATGTAACGCGGCTGGAGTAGGTTTTCAATGTTCTCTCTGGTTTTGTACAATTTGAAAAAAAAATGACTCGCCGAAATTTAAATTTAATTAGAATTGTCCACCAATCTACCGTTCGATATCCACTTGTGAGGGGAAAGGATACGGCCGTTTCACAGCAGACGAATATGACGTCGACATGATAACGATGCCAGATAAAAATGATATCTTTTTATTTTTTTCAACTGTGATATCCGCGAAAATAATAAACACATTTTTCTAATTGTATTATTTATTTATAAGCGTAACGCATTAAATTATCGAAATATTTAAAATCACTCCCGTCCAAATCTAGTAAACTTGTTAATGTGTTCAAGGTTAGGCGAATTACGGGCACGTTGGTAGAGAAATCGTTATTGAATACAAATCGGCTTTTTAGTGTTTTCGATCTGGTTTTTTTTTTTTTTTTAAAAATTCCCTCGGCGACCGCTCGGTCTCCTCCTCCCCCGACGATAGCCATTACCGTACACGTACACGCGACACAACGGAGCCGCGTAGGGCTGCGGCGGTCCTACGCGTCTTCAGACCCGCGCGTTTCGTTTAAACGGGCGGCCGCGTTGATGGAACCTATAAGTCGCCGACCCGGATAGAATGCCCGAGCGTTTCACGGCGCCGACCCCGTCCGCGATCATATCGAAGGCATTTCCGCGATCGGATGCGAGCTCCTCGCCACCCTATTGCGTACCACCGCCGCGGCGACGCGACACGCGAGCGGCGAACCGGTGGTCGAAAACCCGCCCCGCCCTATGCCCTCCCGGCATCGGAGCCGGCGCTACGTGCAAGGTCGATGTGAATAAGAATGGCGAAAAAAAAAAAAAAAAAATTTCGATACGCCGTATTCGTTATGTGCGTACAAAATACACAGTTGATTATTGAAATTCTTCCGCGATTGTTTCCGAGCCGGCGGCGGCGGCGCGAATGCGCGTTGAATTCGGCATTGTATATTTATACACATATAAACGTACACGGGCACGGGGGAGGGGGCACGGGGAGGGCGCGCGTACACATAAATCGACGGCGACGACGACCGCGGTGACATTCCGCAAATATCGAAATTGAGTTTGCCCCGAACTTTACAACGATATCCGTACACACGCACGGGGCACAGTATAACCGTTTTATAACCGCTCTCCGACCGTATACCGCGGACGTGCTCGCCGAATTCGCCGCCGCCGCCGCCGAAAATACCAGCCGGACTCGCCGCGGGCCTGCGCGGGGCGCGCAAAAATGTCCGTCGTGAGCGTAAAACAATTGTAACAACAATATTATATATTGTCGTAGTCGCGTTCTACTCACGTATCGAACGAAATTGGAGTTTGGCCGTTTAATAATACTACATATATGTATAGACATATACACACACACATATTGTATACGACTGCAACATTACGCGTTTACACGACTGCAGCGGAGAGTTCGAAATTTCAAACAACCACCACCCCCTCCCGCCGCCATCCAAGTGAGCCGTGCGAAATTACACTGGTGCCGCGTATGGGTCACGCGGGACGGTTTAGGCGTTTAGGCCGCTCGAAAAAAACGAAATTACGCGATTCACGTGTACTTTTCTTTACGAATTTAATAGACGTTTCACCCGTTCAAGACGCGAAAACACATTTAAAATAGAACATATTCGATTGTTCGGTTTTTAAGCGAAATTCAAAACAAAAATTAAAAGACAATCCTGACAAGTCTCAACGAGATACAAATAACATTCCGGGCATAACGCAGTTTCATACACTACGAGTCGTGTCGTGAATCTTAAATTGAAAGTATATAACTCATTTACTTAGTGTGATGAATGAAAACTGAAAAATTGTAATCATAACAATGTTCACTATGCGCTATAATATATGCATTTTTGTTCGTTGTTATTAGATAAAGGTGAATCAAATTCTAAAATACGGACTTGAACATCAGGAATACGAATCCACGACGAGAACTGGCTTAAAAAAAAATCGCCAAAATATCATGGTTTCCTATATGTATTTAAAGTGCTTTCACTTTTGTGATTGTACGGGTCAAACGACGATCCGGTAAACGGCAATTTTTAAATTAAATATTCCGGCGAAAAAATTTACGACAAATACGATACGAGAAAGACTCCACTCGACTTTCCTCGCTTCCTCCTCACGTTCATGTGTGCTCATTTGTGTAACAACACTTCACAACTGAAATTAACCGTAACGGAGTCATTGCAGAACTACCTAAAGAGTTTATATCATCATTAAAACCAAACGTTAAACGTCATTTTTTCGCGAGGTTTTGGAGAATTTTACTAGGGCGAGGAGTGTATGGCATTTTTATCCCCATCTGCTCCCGAAAATTACCGCGACACAAATATATATATTGTCGATGACACAAACGAATTATAATTATTCGCGGTATAACGTGTCGTTTATAACCGATCGGTTTAATCAAAGTATGCGAAATGTGGCCATGTTGTAGGCAATACGGTCGTGCACGACAAACGAGTCTTTAAACAATCGCCGGGCCAAATGTTTAGCCCGCGTGTCTGGCCGGAGGGTTGACATTATAATATCGTAACGTCACGGAAAACGCGAACGAACAGAACTCACGAAACAATCGTCAACCCCCGCCCCGATCCCTCCCCCCCCCTGCTCGTCGGTCATCGATTCCGAAATGTAAAACCGATATTACCGCGTACGCGTTATCTTTTCGCGTTATCGTCGTGCTACGGGATATCAGACTTAACGATACACATAGTCTGATGTGGTTACCGATCATCGCACGCGGTTACGGTAAACGCAAAGTCATAATGTTTTTCTCGCGTTAGTCGTCGCGATCGATCAGTGCGTCCGATATCGTACACGAATAATCGTTTTACATCGTTTTACGCTGTAAAACGATCGGATCGGAAATAGCCGACAACGCGTCACAATACGATAACGATGCTATTACAATATATATATTATAATCGGGACTGTGTATTTTAACACACTGAAAAAACTCGAGAAAACCGTCTAAATCATATCCACCCTCGTCACGAAAAAACAGCTCGAAATCCATGTAAAATTCTGTATAGAAAAAAATAACCTACTAAAATGCGGTAAAGTGAAATAATTTTTTTTTTTTTTTTTTTTTTAATATAATACACTAAAGGACATTTTGTTATCGAGTAGATATTATACGCAGGGTTTGCATAAAGTATTTGAAGAATGAAACTGACATTGTTAAAAATGCGTTAATCCGGTAAAAAATGACTTGAACCGGGCGAAAAATACCCAAAACATTACTGAACATTAACCTCAGCGTATTTTTTTTTTTTTTTTTTTTTTTTT